CCAAATCATTTTTAAACAGATGGGTCTGGACCCAGGCCTTGATCAAACTGGGTTGTATTTTCCTTCCTCTAATGTCAATGCTGCATTTTAGAAGTATTGCAGCTGGAGCACTAATGCAGACTATCCTCATTTTATCCCCATATTAGCCTCACAAGTCATTGTCATAATCACATTAAGGGGCCTTACTCCCAGGTAAGTGAGTACATATGGAGGTGGCTTACATCTCAGTCAACAGGTATAGAATTGCACTGTCAAGCGAGAGTGTTACAGAGATGCTGGAAGCTACAAAAAATGTAGTATGAACACACATAATTGGCAAATACTGGCCCGCGAGTGCGCCAGTTGGAGAACAGCCCTTACCAAAAGTGTCATGGACTATGGAGACGTTCAAACTCAGGACAAAAGGGAGAACCATGCTAAGATAAGGTTACCAGATTTTTTTCAATGAATCCTGGGACACGTTAACTAATTACTTAATTAATTACTACACGTTCGGGACGTTGATGCTGCAGCAATGGCGGTGGCAGAGGGGTGGCTGCCACCTTAACCTCAACCACTACGTTTCCCCTTCCTTCGAGACTTCCATCTCCTTTCTCCATGAGCCTGGGCAGCCCGAGTTGTTGGTTCTTCGGTGGTGGTGGGGAAGCAGTGCGCGGTGGGTCAGGCATGGAAGGTGGAGAAGGAGGGCCGAGAGTGGCGGCAGCAGCGAGTTTCGGGCAGCGCGATGCCTCCCTTCCCATCAGAGCAGCCCCAATCCCATTCCTACTTGTGTGCAAGCAGGAGGGGGCGGGGATCCCTCAGCTGGGAAGGTTGGCTTCCCGTTGCCTAACTGAGAGATCCCTGCCCCCTCCTGCTTGCACGCAAGCTCTGATAGGCAGTGTGAAGCCTCCCTTCACAGCTTACTTGCTGGGGTCAGGGAAGGTGGAGGCAGCCCAGAAGCTGCATCTTAGAGCTCCTGCACCACCATCATATGGGGACTTCCAAGCAGCTCCTGAAACCAGCCAGAACCAACTGCTCTAGGCTGCTGAGACTGCCACTGCTGTGTTTCCCGGGGACATTAGAAGAAATCCGGGGACATTCTGGGGATGGAATTTGTCCAGGGACTTATTTGCAAATCCGGGGACTGTCCCCAGGAAACGGGGACATCTGGTAACTCTATGCTAAGAGGAAGGCACATTGGGCAAACCCTCACCATGATCACCTGTGTTCATGGAAGACAATTTTACTTGGCTATGAGGGATTGCCAAAGAAGAAGAAGAAGAAATCAGTGGAATTTCCTCCCTCTCCAATATCTTAAAATACTGACTTCTGATAATCCCCATTCATTTGGGATGTGTTGAAAAGCAGCAGAAGTACTGAAGAAGTCTGTATAGCAAGTGTAAAGTAAATATGATTGACTTGACTCATAATGCATATTTTACTCTTTTTTATGTGTATATATTTCAGCCCCTCTGAGATGCAAATATTAGGCAATTATTGGCATACTTTGAACAAAATCTGAGAGGTAGCAGATGTCTCATTTGAATGTTAAACAGTCTTAATGCATTTCTTGATGAATATTGGGATCTTGGGATAACTTTAAAAATGATTAAATGGCTGCAGTTAATAAAGAAATTCACTCCAAGTGAGAATTTTACATCCCTCCCCCTTGTAGACAGGAATAGCTGTTGGCCAGAAAAAATAAATTTTATTAAGATTCTCTTTTATTATAAGAACAGCCATTTGGCTGCTTTATAGCCATTTTATTGTGGAATATGATTTCTTCGACTAGAACCTACCTTGTCATATGCATAGTATTATCCTCAATCCACAGAGATATGGGTAGACTGATGTAAAAAAAGGGGGTGGGGGTTGTAAGTAGGAAGCCATGAAATGCAAGAGCGATTTTTCCACGCAGAGCCCAAATGTATATAAGCCAAGAACATAATGACCAATTCACAACAGCAGTCACTATGACATTACTGTCTTTCAAGCTGGTCATATCAATCTAATATGCATAGTGAGAAACAAACCTATAGTCCTGGTTAAGTCCAAAGTACATAGAATTTATCAGCAATTTTGACTCTAACTTAGAAGTTTCAGACTGGAGTCTCCCCATGAAATGTGAAGCAAATGTTGGTGGTGGCATCTTAAGAGGTTCTGAATCAGTGTAGTTTTGAAAGGTTCAGTCTGCCATCTTGATTCAAAATGGTACCCAAATATGGACAAAAACATTCTCCTCAATCTTAGAAAGGAGAAAGAAGAAGAAGAAAGAAGATGGGAATAGTAGTAGTAGTAGTAGTAGTAGTAGTAGTAGTAATAATAATAATATTTTTAATGCAAACTTACCCCTAATAAATACATTCCTGCACACATTGGTTGGAGAACAGCCATTGCAAAATTCAGGAAAGTGCAAATTTGAAATGATACCTGTGTTTCAGTTCACATATTTGTTTGAGGAGTGTGAATTAGATAATTTCTTAATGCAAATGAAATCAATTTTCTGCCCCATCCCTAGAAGAGAGGGTCATTTATTTATTCAGTGTCGAGTCCCCCCACCCCCTATTCCATTTTTAAAATCTCAAAAAAACAAACAAACCTCACCCATCTCTCATATTTATAAAGGTCAAATCTGCTTGAACTTTACAATTTCTAGGAAAGTCTCCTCTAACTGTTAAATCCATACCCTCTTCTTGTTTATTTATACGCCCTAACCTTAAATGCAGGTTGCCACAGAACGGAAAATAATAACAGCAAACCGGATTAAGTGCTTTATTCCTCCCTTCCAAAACCACAGCCTCCAATTATGGGCCCAGAAGGCACCTGCAAATTACAACAGGGGAAATTTAAGTATAGCTGTGTACCTCTTTTTATTGTCATTGACTTGAGGTCAGGAGGAAATCAATTTTGTTTCTGTGACATGGCGCTTGATTTACCAACTGAATGACTCACATCTAATAGGCGATTTGTTGCTATGCTGAATGGTTAATTACAAAGATAAGGCACGCACTTTGTTCAAAGATAGCACACGAGGACAAGGCGATGCCAAAATCGTCAGGACAATTAGTGAAGTTTAAATTAGCAAGTCTTGAGTTGAAAGTGGTTGTTAAACATGGCCGACTCTTCACAAGTAATCGCCAAGGCCACATCTGCAACATGCAGTTAAAGTACTCTTAGACCACGTTCAACAGTCCTGGCTTCCCCCAATGAATCCTGGGAATTGTAGTTCGCTAAGGATGCTGAGTGTTGTTAGGAGATGGTCAAAGGAGGCTGAAATTCATGTTCAAGAGCCACTGCATATTGTGTAAAAATAAACCAAGTTTCATTAAAAAAAACCCACACTCCTTAGAGGCATGTCGAGTTTTTCTGTTTCTAAATTGCCATGCTACTTTCTCCACGAGGGCAGATTGCCAAACCTTTTCACTCCAGTTTTTTGTCAAGTTCATATCCAGGGATCTCCATCTTTCAACAATAGTCCATTTTTGCAGTAGTCTGCAGAAATAAAATACAGTGGTACCTCTGGTTGCAAACTTAATTCGTTCTGGAGGTCCGTTCTTAACCTGAAACTGTTCTTAACCTGAAGCACAATTTTAGCTAATGGGGCCTCCCTCTGCCGCCACACGATTTCTGTTCTCATCCTGAGGTAAAGTTCTTAACCCGAGGTACTACTTCCAGGTTAGTGGAGTCTGTAACCCAAAGTGTTTGTAACCTGAGATGTTTGTAACCAGAGGTATCACTGTACGCTTTATTTCTGATGGACAAACACTTGTATTATTCTTTTATTAGGGAAGCTTTTAATGTTTGGTGCATTACGGTATTTTAATATTTTTTTTGGAAGCTGCCCAGAGTGGCTGGGGAAGCCCAGCCAGATGAGTGGGGTATAAATAATAAGTTGTTGTTGTTGTTGTTGTTGTTGTTGTTGTTGTTATTCTGCACTGTGGATTTTACTTCTTCTGTAGTTTAGTGTTTTGTAAGTCTCTTTGAGACATTAGGCAAAACGCGATGTTCAGATATAATGAATAAAATAATGAGATGCACCTTTCATTGCATCTCTGCTCAGTCACCATTTGACTTGTTTCCCAAAGAGCAAAGGAGATGAAGGGCTTGAGGAAATGCTTTTCTTAACTGCAGATTGATTTATTCATCTTTCCAGAAGATGGCGCTGTGCCTGAATGGAAAGCCAAAAAACAGAGATGAGCAGCAAAAACGAAAACAAAACTTCTCTTGGAAAGAAGAGGTTTGTTTTATTCATTAGGTTGAATGGCTGGCTGGAGCTTCAACTTTTTGCTGCATGTTTTGCTAGCAATTGTTCCTTCCTTCAAAATACCAAGCAGAATGCAAGTAATGTCTATTTTTTAATTATAGAAATCAATAAGTTCTTCTGTGAAACCCATTCACATACCCCTACAGGTACGCATATCACAGTTTCAGCCTGGACACTGAGGTTCCAGCTCGAAGGGCCTTCTGGCGGTTCCCTCACTGCGAGAAGTGAGGTTACAGGGAACCAGGCAGAGGGTCTTCTTGGTGGTGGCACCTGCCCTGTGGAACGCCCTCCCACCAGATGTCAAAGAGGAAAACAACTATTTGACTTTTAGAAGACATCTGAAGGCAGCCCTGTTTAGGGAAGTTTTTAATGTTTGATGTTTTATCATATTTTTAATATTCTGTTGGGAGCCACCCAGAGTGGCTGGGGAGTCCCAGCCAGATGGGCGGGGTATAAATAATAAATTATTGTTGTTGTTGTTGTTGTTGTTATTTTGGGAACACTGGCATAAACAAAGCAGCAAAATGGGCTGAGGACATAACCAGAGCCACTCCTGCTAGTTATACAGAGGGAATTAGATAAGATCCATCATTCTAGTTACGTTCAGTGGTTTGGAACCTGATCCATCTGTTTGCAGTTCCTGAGCTCCTTTGGGAGGAAAGCGGCTTAAATAAAATAAATAAATACCTGTGTTTTCACAGAATCATCAAGCTGAGGATCATGGAGCCCAAAGTCTTGCAGTGTGGGAATACATAGCCGTCCCATACAGGGCTTGAACCTGCAACCTTGGCATTATCAGCACCACACTCTAGCCAACTGAGCTATCCAGGCTGTGCTACCATGCTGAGGCATTTGTACATAGCACCCTGCTTTCAATGCTAGGATTTTCCTTTCTAGGGACAAGGAATTAAATTGCATACAACAGCCTTTGCCAACCTGGTGCCCTCCAGATGTTGAACTACATGGCTCTCATCGGTCCCAGCCAACACCAGCCGTGTCCAGTGACAACTAGAGGGCACCAGGTTGGCAAAGGCTGGTATAGAAAATATAGTGGCTGTCATTAGTCTCCTGTATGCATTAAGACCATAGTCGTTTTCAGTGAATAGCTCCCTCTTCAATCCTCCTTTATTTTTCCAAGAAGTAAAAAAAAAGAAGACTACATATTTAGTGACTCATCATTCAAAGGAGGTTTTCTAAAAGCTCCCCTGCTGTGCCTATACAAGCGTTGTCTCTGCCCCGCTGTTCAGCTTCTTCCAGGCTTGCTTTTCTTTTCTTTCTTCCCTCCACCCCTTGCAAATAGATTAGGCCACTGCCTTTTAAGCGTGCAGAGATATTACCCAGCATCCTCTAGGGCTGCGTTATCAGCTGCAGCCAGATGGAGCCTATCAGAGGCGTGTCAGTCATTCTACACCTGTTGGCTTCATACGGAAACCGAAGAATTAATTGTGCAGCAATTTTTAAAAGAAAAAGTGAGATGCTAAAAAGAAAACCCTTGGGGGGGGGGACAAGGGAGGCGATGATGACTCATTGCGCAAAAGATTCAAAGAAAATAAATAAAATACGAGGGGAAAGGCAGCTGCAGGGGGCACCCCACCCCGCGGTCTTATTTAGGTTGTAATGGAGCAGATTTTGTCTTCACAATGAGATTGGAAATTCAAAGAAGAGAGGGTTTAGAAGCGAAATAGTGCCGATTTGTTTTTGTTTTGTTTTATTTACAAATATTCATTATGCAGCATACTTTACATGACAAACGTTAGTCTATGTGTTTGATATGTGAAATATATGTGGGATATATATGTAAACTAATGTACAATATAGTTACAAAAAAATAACATGATTTTTTATATGGATATAAAGATGTAAATAAATATATATTGTGCACAGGTAAGTAAATAAATGAGTGGACGATTAAAATGATGACTATTCATCTCTCTGAAAAAAATAAATCTCATCCCATTCTCTTATTGATAGTTAAGTTAGCCTTTCAAATGGGAAATGAATCAAATTTTGCCCCTATCCCTTGGCACTATTTTATCTGATAACTAATGGAAAGATACCCAAATGCGGTGTGTAGGAAAAGCACCAGTCGCAAATGAAGAGTTGTCAGTGCACAGTCACAGCAGAATGGGGAGGTGGCAAGCCTAGAATTAGGTCTTTAGCTAGAAAGCAGGTTGTGTGCTTGGCAGCCTGACAAAGCAGGTTCCAAGGAATGGTGCAACAGTGACATCCAGTGGTGCTATAAGTGTATCCTGGACGGTGAAAGAAGAATCACAGCTGATCTCTGCTCCTCCTAACCCCCAACTTCACACAGATTTCCCAATAAATTTGTCTGTTTATTCCAGCAATTGGATCCTTCTTGGACCTTTAAAGCCCTAAACAGCCTCGGTCCAGTATACCTGAAGAAGCATCTCCACCCCCATCTTTCAGCCCGGACACTGAGGTTCAGTGCAGAGGGCCTTTTGGTGGTTCCCTCGCTGCGAGAAGCCAAGTTACAGGGAACCAGGCAGAGGGCCTTCTCGGTAGTGGCACCCGCCCTGTGGAACGCCCTCCCACCAGATGTCAAAGAGGAAAACAACTACCAAACTTTTAGAAGACATCTAGGGAAGCTTTTAATGTTTAATAGATGATTGTATTTTAATATTCTGTTGGAAGCCACCAGAGTGGCTGGGGAAACCCAGCCAGATGGGCGGGGTATAAATAATTTATTATTATTATTATTATTATTATTATTATTATTATTATTTCCGAGAATTAGAAAGGCCTCAAGCCTACAACCTCATAGCAATCTCATAGGCAGGAAACTCCAGTGCTCCCCTATAGCCTAATGGTTGAGTCTTGAAAACATTTTATTTGGCATCGGATTTAAAATTTGATGAGAGGGAGAAACAGCAGCAGCAGCAGCAGCAGCAGCTGTAAGGGAATCGTCTGAATGATTAAGCCACATCTGCCATTCCAGTTTCCAAATTGGCATGGCCTGCTTTCCTTACTGAGCGGGTCAAACGTGCACCTGAGTACAAATAAACACACTGCTGCGTCAAACGGGTTTTTAGGATAGGAAACGGGTGTTTCAAAAATGACTCCAAATTCCCCTAGTTGTTGCAATTAAACATTTATTTATTTTGAAGACTTGCACTCTACCTTTCAAATGGCCAGTTCTCAGGGCAAATTACAATAGACAGCAATAGTACTGGCGGGCCAGGAGCAGGGGGAATACTCAAAAGTCATGCTTATTTGTACACACACAGGCTAACAGCCCTTAATCACTTGGCAGATAGATGGGGCCAGAGCATTGGGTTTCCTTTTGGTTCTGCAGTCTGAAGGACCTGACTTGGCAGAGAGTGCTCCTTCTGGTGGATGAGGGAGCAAGCTCCCCAGAATTCCTCCTCCTCTGGCCAGTGATTGGGTCCATGCTGCTCATTCCCTCCTCCTTTTGTTGATATTCATTATGGGAGGCCAAAGATGTGACCTTCTAGTTACTCATGGTGCCCTGGCTGGTGGCAGAAGCAGAAAGTGCTTCCATTCTGCTCTGTAGTTCTTGGGCAACCGACAATGGAAGCCAAGCATACTGTTAAACATAACTTTCTGGTGGTAAGAACTGTTCAACAATGGAACAAGACTACTTGGGAAGGTGGTGAACTCTCCTTAAACAGAGCTTGGATGGTCATCTGTCAGGAATTCTTTAGCTGCCAGGGATTGAATCATAGAACTGTAGAGTTGGATGGGACGCCATGGTCATCCAGTCCAACCCCTTGCAATGCAGGAATTGTTTGCCCAACGTGGGGCTCAAACCTCCAATCCTGAGATTAAAAGTCTCATGCTCTACTGATGGAGCTCTCACTGATTTGGATTGACTATCATTATCATTATTTGTTTAAATCACCAGTATCCCAAATGTTACCACTGACAATTAGTATATACTGGCTGACATCACAACAGCTCTGATGTCTCTCATAGTCCTTGAGAAATATAATAATTACCAGGACCCATATTTCAAGGTCAAATGCAATTAATATGGTGAATTAGACAGCAAGACAAACTGTAACTTCATAGTTCAAAAAACAACAATATCTTCTTAGAAGACTCCTTGGGTCTATTGGTTTTTTAAATTGTCTTGGAACAGGGTTTCTTTCATCATCTGACGGTTGAGGTAATGATTCTGACATTGATTTTTTTCGCCCTGCTGAGGAAAAAAATATGCTGAAGCAAAAGATTGTGGTGATAAGAAAGTACAGTAAATGAAAAATAAATACAGAAGTACACAGATGACACAGCCAACGTCATTTATTTTTGGGAGAGGATTCTATTTATTGTGCTGGGTATATTTTGTGAAGGGAAGACATTTTTGCAACATTTTTGGTTTAAAAGGGAATGTTAACATTGATGGGTACTGGTAAGAGACTATATTAATTATATTTAATCCTCTACAGACACACAATAAAAATGGCTGGTGCCTGTTTTTAAAAACTCAGGGCCTACACATAAACAGCCCCAGTAACAGAGTTTAAACCCCATCAGGCAGATTAATGAAACATAGGAATAGGCTTTTAAGCCTTCTTTTAATACATTCCAGCTGCTTGAGGCAGTTGGCCTCCGTTACCCGTCCTTCAGAGAAACAGACTACATAGTGAAGTAAGTTTAAAATACACTTTACTTACAGTTGTGCATTGTCCTTAGCAGTGAAGATAAAATTCAGGTGATTGTTAGGCTGATTTGTAGCTGGTTGACTGACCAAACTGAAAGAGCTTTCACTAATGGTTCCTCATCACTCTGGGAGAGAGAGGGGGGGAGACAAATGGTGTGCCACAGGGTTCTGTCCTGGGCCTGTTGCTGTCCAATATATTTTTAAACCACTTGGATGAAGGAATTGAGGGAACGCTCATCAGACTTGCAGATGACACCAACCTGGGACTCATCTTTGTCTGACCACTAATCCCCTGGCTCTGAGACAGATTAAGGGAAGACTGAGAGGAGATATGATAGCCATCTTCAAATATCTAAAGGGCTGTCACATGGAAGATGGAGCAAGTTTGTTTTCTCCTGCTCTGGAGGGTAGGACCCGAACCAATGGATTCCAGTTACAAGAAAGGAGATTCCAACTAAACATCAGGGAGAACTTTCTGACAGTAAGAGCTGCTTGACAGTGAAATGGACTCCCTTGGAAGGTGATGGACTCGCCTTCCTTGGAGGTTTTTAAGCAGAGGTTGGATGGCCACATTTGTCATGGACGCTTTAGCTGAGATTCCTGCATTGCAGGGGGTTGAACTAGATGATCCTCAGAGTCTATTACAACTCTACAATTCTATGGATCTATGAGCATTTCTTTCTGATTACATGTTCAAAATGGCTGGAAGCCAAGTCTAATGAAACAGAAGAGTTAGTGGAAAGCAGAGGGGTAAAAAGGGAGCAAAACACCCCTAAGGAAATCAGCAGCCAAGAGGTCAGCCCTCTGCCTCCTGAAGTACAAGCTAGAATAACTCATCTCTCCACACTGGTATCTTCTCTTGTAAATCAGCCCTAGCCCAATAGAAGCAAAGCAAAGTTTGTTAGAGAAATGTGGTCTGAACTTGGGGCAACCAGCTCAGACCTCACAGGTTGGGCTTCTTCAGACAGACTGAAGTACAACAATAGGCTTGATTACCTTCCTCCCAACGTGAAGGGGAGTGACCTGGCTAAGCCTGGCAGGACACTTTACTCTATGGCATTAACCCCTCTGTGCTGGTTACCACATATGAAGTCCATTAGAAATCCTTTGAGTAAGATCAGAACTTATTCTGAATGGGATTTTTATCATGTGAAGTTACAGCAAAGAGCGACTCTGAACATGTGCAGAG